TGCGCGGCATGAAGCAAAACTAATGACATTCCAGAACTTGCCAAAGATGACGTTATGTAAAGAATTTACAGATATTTTTGGCCTAAGTACAGATAAACTGACCCACAATAATTTTTATGAACAAAAAGTTAAACTGATGGACCAGTCACCGGTTTACATAAAAAACTTGAACGCCACACGCACAAATCTTAGAAATCGACTTACAGGTTCAAAAAATGATAGACGATTTCATAATACAGCCATTAACTGCTGCATATAACAGTCCAATTTGGGAATGGAACTCCACACAAATACACCATAAAAACTCATTGGAGATTTCTATTCCGGATTCTTTTGGTTTTGCTTCGCATCGAAGGTTTTTCTCCATCTTTTGCAATACAGAAATTACTCTGTATATTTCTGGTCACCCCATAAACGGCGCTTTCAAAAACTTTGCCTTCCTCTAGGCTACAGCCTACTTGGACTAGTGGTAAGTCCGGCTCTGGTTTTTAAGGTAATAAAAGACACTTATGCCTAGTAGGTCAGGTTTTTAGATTAATGATGAAGACATTTTTAGTCAGTTTCGACTTTAAATCGAAAAAATGTTTTGCGTATACGATCCAAGAATAATTGCTAAAAACCTTTGTGGTTTTTCTTGATTTCCTGTAAATTTCATGTAAAAATATATAATACAAGATGGCAGGAAACGGGCAAGGGATTTCAATTTAGCGCGCAAAAATACGTAAAAAATACTTTTGTCTTCTAGGATAGTTTTTTTTACCAATATTTTTATTATATTTCAACATAATAGTTTGAAAATCATTGCTAAACACACATATGATATTTATTTGGTAATCATTCCAGTATAACAATAGCCATTATAGCTATAAAAGCTAGTAGACTACATTAAAAAACAGCTTTTTCCGTGTAATTATAAAATTTAGCGAACATTTTTTGTTTGTTAATACAACAGGCAATTTTATTTTTATGTTGTATATTTTTTTTAAAATATCTATCATCTTTTGAAGATAGCAATAGGTACTAAATTTAAAAATTCATTTTTCTCCCTGTATTTACGTAGTACCTAAGTGCACTTAAAACTTAAGCACTGATTACTAAAAGTATCCCCTAAAAACCATTAAAATATGCAGCATAATTTGCACCATAAAAACCATCAATTATGAACAAAGTCTTTTGCTAAAATATGCTGAAATATACTCAAATTGTCCAAATTATCACATAAGGGTAGATCTCATATTAACAATTTTACAAAATATTTTAAAGAATTACAGTTTTTAGCTAATTTAAAGTACATGGTTAAAAAGAACAAAGTCAAGGAATCCAACGATATATTAAACAACAAACGTTATGGCGGCCATTATAAAAACAAAAGATGGTGATGATAACTCAAAATGTAGTAGCGAAGAAATTAGATGAAAATGTAGAATAATGTGTATACACAAAACAAAGTTATAGCGATTTCTAGCTTTGACAGGTTCTTTTTTTTTAATAATTTTATAACCGCTTTTTTCCAATTAATAAATTTTATTTTAAAAGGCTCGTAATCACGCAACCTTTCTCTAATATAACCAAAAGTGTAGCTCTTCAAAAAAAATACCCATATAGGGTACACTATACCTTTTCAACTTCAAAATGGAACTAATCAATTTCAATTTGGAATGAAACAATTTTAAATTGAGATTAATCAACTTTTAATTGGTAACTTACACGTTCAAAATGAAAATAAACAAAGTCAAATTGGAAACAAACAATTTGGTACTAATCAACTGCAAATTGGAATTTTTACTGAAATTGTAACGACTGAAAACGTTCGTTAGGTCTGTGACCGGCTTAAGGCAAGATACATACACTTTAAGATAGGATAGTGCGCATGTTGGGTGGGGCTTAAATACGTCACTTGTTGTGTGTTTTTAATTCTTTAAGGTGCGTTTTAATTATCTGGTGGTAAAATCCTTATTTTTGCGATGCTGTTAGATGTTAACTTGCTCTATTTTTTTGTTTAACTTGTTGTTTTTGCGTTCGGTAAGGTTCAAATTTTCAGTGTTCAAATTATTGTTATTGCATTGTGTTAACCTGTTCTGTTTATTATTGTTTTTGTGTTGCGTTAACTTGTTTTGTTTGTGTTTTAGTTTGTGTCGTGCCATTTGCATTTATTAAAATGCGGTGTGGCATATTTGGATGCAATTCGGACAACCAGTCCAAGAAAAACCCTTTAAATAAAAACATTAAATTTCATCGATTCCCGAAAAACTTTGATTTGTGCAAACAGTGGTTAAATGCCACAAAAAGAATAGACAATATAACCGTTAAGACCGATTTTGTTTCCTATAAACATTTTCTGGACAGTGGCTACAAGTTTAATTTAAAACACCAACGATTAAACTACATCCCTAAATGTTATCAAGGACTGAAAGCATCTATTATCCATATTATAACACTTTCTTCAATATTAAGTTTAATAAAAAAGAAACACTATATCCATATATTTCTCTATTTTCTTTGATAATATTACTATTATTCGTTTATTCGCACTGCAACTACGCATCAAGTGACGTCATGCGCGGCACGAACCAAAACTCGTACACGGTAGCATCCAGCCCTGGGCTTAAGGCATTTTAATTAATTTAATATAAAGTTTAAACGTGACTGCCGTTTGACTTGCAAAACGTATGACAATTTAAATTACAATTTCAGTGAAAATTCCAATTTGAAGTTGATTAGTACCAAATTGAATTTGTTTGTTTCCAATTTGACTTCGTTTATTCCCATTTTGAACGTGTTAGTTACCAATTAAAAGTTGATTAATCCCAATTTGAAATTGTTACATTCCAAATTTAAATTGATTAGTTCCAATTTGAAGTTGAAAAGGTATAGACTGGGCCAAAAAAATCGACTATTTTTTTTTAAAGTATATCGAAAATATTGTTTGGGGTGACAAAAAAAAATTATGGTGAAAGTTTGAGTCCATAATATTAATATTAAGAGGTCTATCATCGCAATTTTAGATTTTTTTTTCCTGAGCGAGTTTTTGTCTCAGAACTCCCAAATCATTGAGTTTAACAAAATTGACTTTAGAATATTTTTTGAAGAAAATTGAATGCTCCACAAAAAAGGTTTAATTGGAATTTCCCGTCAGATGAACCGTTTTCTTACAATCATGCCTTAAAAATTGGTATAGTTTTACAATTTGATCTTTTAACTTTGGAATTTTGTAATTCATGTAAAAATCAGTACCCTGAAAAAAAAACCATAAATAATCTTATGGGAAATCAAATGCTCTTCAAAAAAGTCCTTTATCATTTTTGGCTAAATTCACTCAATCAAAAGTTATTCAAGCTTAAAATTTCGTTTTGACTGAACATAATATAAAATCTTTTAAAAACTTTTAGGTTATAAAAAACAAATATAAACTAATTAATATAAACAAAATAGGTAAGTGCTTTCTCAGCCGTTTTCTCGTATTATAGGTAGGGAATTAACAAAATTTGCATGCATTTTTATAAAAGATGCAAAAATATGCACGCAAAACAAAAAATTGCCGTATTATACGCCAACGTCAAAATATGCATTCATTAATATAAAATTTAATAGTGCCTATTAAATTTTATCAGTTTACGTAATTTTGAAATATTTGTAGTTAAATTTAGGTTACATTAACGGGCATACTCGCAAATAATGTAGGCATTTGCATACAATTCATAGCCTTACTGATTATTTTATCTGTAAAACCAGAACATATTTCTATTGATATATCTTGTTGGGTATTTATTGTTAAAAGTAATGAATCCAAAATATTAAGGATTAATATTTTATTTTATAGTAACGTGCAATTTTTTACTTATTTAATTTAATTTAACAAAATTAATTTTAGATTATATTAAAACTATATACAATATATTAAAAATATGTGGTATTCAATATTAAATGTTTGTAAATAATTAGCACACTATTAAGACGGCTGGGGATTAGTTTCAATTGATTGAACCTATTTAGTTTTATCTTAAGGATAATATCATTTTACCTTCTTGAAGATGACTTTACATTAATTTCATTTAATTAGGTTATGAGTTAACCCTTTGATATAAAATAATATTTTAATTCATATCATAGACATAATATTTAAGGGCCATTCCACGCTTAACGGATAGGACAGTTGCCGTGTTTACAAAGTCCCGTCCGTTACGCTTTAAATTATTAGTTTTTAAGGAATTAAACAGTCAACCACGATACCTAATTTTGCCAAATAAAAACCTTGTTAAACTGCTTTAGTTTAGAACTATAGTTATATATATTTATAAAAATTTGACATTGGTAATATAATAGAACAATATTATTTTGTAAATAAAAACACGGCAACTGTCCTATCCGTTACGCGTGGAATGGCTCTTAAGTGGTTTAAAATGTAATTAGTATCAGTGGATACTCTCGAAAGCCTATGATAAAAATCAAATTTCTGACGAAAGATACAATATAACTTGGAAGGAACCTTGGAAAGCATTTTTGAATAGACGATTTATGTCAAATGTATGTAAGTTTTCTGACCCCCGTATTTAATAGTAATCTGTATTTAATATTAATCTAGTAATAATGTTGCCATTAATAAATAAAACATTATTTTAATTAAAAGGAAAGGATTATTCGGTATTGTTTAAATATGACTTCCTTGTACTAATAAGTCATATTTAAATAATAATTTTATTATTATATTAAATAATAAATCCACACAAAAAAACAGAATAATAATTTTGTTATTATATTTAGTATACGTAAGCAATTTTAAACAGCATAAGCTTTAGTTTCCTAATGACCTTTTATTATGAGCTCATAAAGTGGCTAAAGGTGTCTCCTTTATAATTATAATTTCCAGATTTAAATTAAAACGTTTTCCACCACTGGTCGATTTATTGTTTCAGTGTTAACTAGTTCATTTTTTTAATTATGCCGCCACGTTTTATCAATAGTTTAATAATTTTATATTATAAAAATAAAACATGGCTTACCTCATCAATTGTATCTAATGAATAGTAAGCGACCTGATATCCATGCAGTCCTGAATGGTTTCGGCTTTGCCACGAAACTATTACTGAAAAAGGCTGTATATCCTGTATTCCTAGTTTGACCATTATCGGTTGATCGCAGAATTGTTCTGGTTCCAGATCCAAGAAAATTTTCCCACGCAACTCTGGAGGATGTTCACAACGAAGCTCCAAAGTGTTGGTTTTCTTCACCAGTTTCTGATGATCTTTTAACCATTCCCATAGTTCTTGCGAATCGCAGCTACAGGATAAAGGATTTTCTAAAAAAAATATTCAAAATTTAGTAGTTATTAGTTTCAGTATTAATATTAAATATTTACCTTCTGTTCTTAAACTTCTAATTTGTGTTTCTAATGGACGAAATGCGTTGAGGGGAATTTGTTCCAAATAATTTTTGCTAAGATCTAATATACGTAGTTTTTTCATTGGTTTAAAAGCATCACCTGACACTGAGGAAATCCAATTTCCGTAGAGGTAAAACTCCGATAGACTATCTAAATATTGGAACGTATTTTTGCTTAATCTAGTCAAATGATTATACGATATGTCTAAAACTTGCAAAGACCTTAAGTCTTGTGAAAAATCTTCAAGATCTTTTAATTTGTTATGCGTAAGATTAAGCAGGCGTAAGTATGGTAGGCCTTGCAAACGTTCCTGAGGCAATAAGTCGATTTCATTGTACCCCAAATCAAGGGTCAGTAAATGCGGTACTGTTGAAAATGCTCCGGGGGATATGCGATCTATGCGGTTTTGTCCAAGGAAAACATGCAGCAACAATGGAAAGGCTTCAAAATCCTTACTGGTAATTAATGTTAAATTCGTATTGGTAATGTGTAATTCATCTAAAGCAGGGTAGCGATGTATAGAACCCATTTCGTAAATGCCAGTTAATGGATTTCCCGTAAGGTTCAACCAACCCAATCCAGGTAAATTGTTTAAAGACAGCGCTGCATTCGGAATTTGCCTGAATTGATTAAATGATAAATCTAAAACTCTTAAGATTGGGGAATGACAAAAAAAATTGGTTGGCAATGCTGATAAAGCGTTTCCACTTAAATCCACTGTTTGAAGTCGAGACAATTCAGCCGATGCAAATCCAGAAATCGTTGCAATTATATTATATTTTAGATCTAATTCCCTTAAGTTTGGCAATCCGTTAAGTCTGGAAATCTCTAAGCTTACCACTTGATTGTGTGAGAAAGAAAGAGTTTCCATGGTGGAAATATTTAATAGGGCAGTGTAGGGCAGTTCGGTGAATACATTTGCTGATAACTTTAACTCTTTAATGATGTTTAGGTTAGCAAATGTACCGTGGTTAAGTTCCTTTAAATTGTTTTGACTTAAATCAATTCTAAGAAGGTTTTTGTTTTTGGAAAATATATCCTTTGGCAGGTTCACAATATGACAATTATCCAAAAATAAAGATTGAAGTGAAGGCAGTCCGTTTAAACATTGGCTTGTTATATTAATAAAGTTATTGTTTGACAGTTTTAGCTCTCTTAACCCTGGAATATCCAAATATTTTAGGTCCTGCGGTAAAAGCTCATTGGAATGCAGATTTAATTCATTAAGGTTGTTAAGTCCTTTAAATGCGCCACTTTCTATTTTTGATATGGAACAGTTTATAAGATTCAAAATACGTATCGGTATTCTTTCTTGAAATATGTCGTCATGCAACACAACTAACGGGTTGTACGACAAATCCAGATATCTCAGTTTTTTAAGGTTAGTAAGAGCAAACGGTTCGATTTTTTCTATTAAATTGTTTGAAATATACAGTTCTTCCAGATCGTGCAACTCGGCAAAAGTTGTCACTGTAATTTTTTTCAATTGGTTTATACTGAGATCCAGGAATTTAAGCGCCTGCATCGGCTCGAACGATTTATCTTCTATAAAAGAGATGGTGTTGTTTGTCAAGTAAAGTCTCTGGATAAGCAGTAGGTCTTTAAAAAGGGCGCGGTTTAATCGCGAAAGCCGATTGTGTCCAAGCCACATAATTTGTACGCTAGATTGACCTCGTAAGGAGTCGTTGTGCAGAGAAGTTATTCTATTATGGTCCATTTGTATAGAGACTAAAGAGCCAGTCTCGTGCATGAATACATCCCCGAGTTTTGAGATAATGTTCCCTTGCAGGTTAACATGCTGGAGACTTTGTAAACTGCGAAAAGCGCCCGAATCTATCGATGCTATCTGGTTATTTTGCAAGTGCAGTTCTAAAAGGAAGGGAAGCGGATCAAACACGCCCAGATGAACATCTTGCAGTCGGTTATTGTGCAGGCGGATTTCTCTTAGACTTGTGCTTTTATCGAATGTGCCTGGTTCCAAATCGGACAACCAGTTGCTGTCTAAACTAAGCGAAGTTAAATTGCGGTTCTGCTGAAAGAGATCTCGTGGAATGTACGGAATAAAGTTGGAGCTCAAATGCAATTGCACCAGGTTAAATAGGGTCGATAATGACTCGGAGTCTACGCGACGTATGGCGTTTTGTTGCAGGTAAATGACTGTTAAATTAACTGAGTTCGTGAACGCATCCGAGGGAATTTCCAATATGTTATTTTCCGATAAGAAAAGTTCCTTTAATTCGGGCAAAAAAGCAAACACACCACTAATGTAATGGACATGATTGTGGCTCAAATCGATAGATTTTACTTTTCTATTATTTTCGAATGTAAGCGGATCCAAATGAACAATCTTATTATGGCTCAGATCTATAGACTGAAGCTCTTTAAGTGATACAAAAGCACGTTCATGTACTGTTTCTATAACATTGTAGTAAAGGGATAGCGTTTGAACCAACGGACAAGGTTGAAAACAGTCATCACCCAGATTTTCAAAATTATTCGAACTAAGATCCAGAAATATGAGGGAATTCAGTCTCGAATAGCCATCGCCGTTTATACTTTTAATTTCGTTCCACGGCAATCGTAGATGCCGTAATCGATCTAGCCGTCTTAGGGCTTTAAGTGGAAATATTTGGAGCTTATTTTCAGCCATATCCAACTCAGAAAGAGTATCTTCTAAACCAGCAAACGCATATTCCGATACCTGCAATTTATATGTTTATTTTTAAAATTTTTAAATTATAGCTAGGTTAAACTTTGTCTCTTTAATTTGGTTTAATTGATTTAAGTTTGTTAATTCTTAGTTTGATTTAAGAATTACTAAGTTTTAAACGAAAATACGTTTAACTTTGAAATTTTTAAGAGCTCTTAAAAGATTAAATTAAGGTGTTTTTTTTCACGTAAATAAATTAAATGGAATATACAGGGTGTCTGGAAATAACGTTAATATAATTCAGGGGGTGATTCTTCAAGTTAAAATAAAAGAAAAAGTTGCTATGAACGAATTGAATACTGTGGGATTATTTTACTTTAATAGTTGTAAGGCTACACGTACTTTTTTTAGTACTACGTAAATAATTTTTTATAGAAATTAAAGAAGAAATAAATTTACAAAATAATTATCCTTAGAAATAGTCTGGACAAAATTTTAAGTCAATAGCTACATAAACTTCAAAAGGTACAATTGAAATATAATAACATAGTTGGTGTATCAATGCACCACAGGTTAATAAGAGAATGTACTTACAGTTATATTCCTTTATTTGTGATTTATATATTATATGTAATTATTATGACAATTATAATTTTAATTTGAAATTCATCTAAATAAATATTTTTAATATCTTATTTCTTCCATATCCATGAATATCTTTCTTCTTATATTTTCTTTATTTATTATCTTTCTTCTTATTTCATTCTTCTTATTCTATTCGTGTAATTTTCTTATATTTTTTCTTGTATTTCTTCTCGTAGGTATAATTTTCTTTTATATTGTCTATTTTTTGTTTATGTATATTATATTTTATTTATTTTATTTATATTTTATGATGTATTAAATTATATAAATTTTATGATTATGATTTTTATATATTTTTTTTATTATTATTATTATGTTATATTATTTTGTTATAGTTATCATGGATAACTATTTTTTAATATATAAGTATCAAAGATATTATTGATAGTCTTAAGTTGAGACTCTCAACTAACAATGACACAAAATAAAGGTTATGTAACCAAAGTCACATTGACAACTTAAACCAACCCATGGCGCAATACTTGGCGCCAACATACTCCCCGGCTTTGAAATGATAATTTCAAAGTAAGTTTAAATAACAAAATTATATGACAAGTTTAATATAATCTATTATAGACATTATATTTAATTAAATTTAAATTAAATATCACAATATTTAATATCACTGTGTTGGAAGGGGGCAAAGTTTTACCACAGGTCGCTTAAAAACTCCATTTTGAGATCGCACTAATGCTACCCTGATAACCCCATCCTTTCCAGGATAAACTTGTTCTAAACACCTAAAGGCCAATGAAGTGGAGGCACATCATGTTTTATCAACACAATTGTTCCTATACTAATAGGTATATTTGATTTATTCCCTTTTTGTTTTAATTGTAATGTACGTAAATATTCTAAATGCCATTTTTTCCAATAGGATTTAACTAAATTATCTAATAACTGTTTTCTTCCTCTTAAAGTTTGATCAGAATATTAACTAAATGGTAAGCATTGAAGGGGAGTTGACATTAAAAAATGAGCAGGTGTAAGAATTTCTGGTTGAGATTCATCATTTAATAAACCAAGTGGTCTGGAATTTAATAAACATTCAATTTGAATTAATATTGTATTTAACTCTTTATAAGATAATAATTGCTTACCAATAACTCAATATAAATGAGTTTTAACACATTTTAAATTTGCTTCCCAAATACCTCCAAAATGAGGAGCAGATGGAGGAATCATTTTCCAATCAATTTTTTTAATATTTAATTCTTTTTGAAATGACTTTCATTTTCTTTGAATATAAAAAATTATACATTTCATTTAAATGTCTTTTAGCTCCTATGAAATTTGTTGCATTATCCGAATATAAACATGAAATAGGCCCTCTTCTTGAAATAAATCTTTTAATTACATGGCGTAAATCTAAATTGTTTTTAAATTTACGCTCTAAAAATACTAATCTACGTTTAGCAATAACATGAAAATTACCTAATAAAGAAGAATCTTTTTTAAATGGTAATTCTACAATATCTCTTCCAGAAGAATCTCTAGAATAAGTTGATTTATAAAGATTTTTACAAATTATATCATCAGAGTTTTGAATATAATCTGAAGGGATTTCTTCTAAATTCCAAAATTTTGTTAAATTTATATTTAAATTTTCATTTGTGATTGGCCCAAAAGTCCAACCTAAATTAAAATGTGAAAATGAATTATTTAAAATTGTATCAACAGGTACTTCACCAATTAAAATATAGCCCAATGTAGTTTCAAGTGCTTGAGGTGCAATCGAATTAGAAGGAGGAATAATTCGACCTGTTAATAACAAATTGGGAAATAATTGAGCCCCTAAAATAATCTCAACTTCCCCAGGAACATTCCAAGATTCATCTGCTAATGATATATTTTTTAAATAATTGAATGCTTGTGTATTTATATTAGTTATGGGTAGTTTTTCAGTTATGATATCCACTACTATTAGAGTAATATCATATTTATCCAATGATATTCGTGATTGAATTGTTAAAGTAACATAACCTTTCATTGGGGTTTTAATTGAACCTACTGTATTTATGTATGAATTATTTAAAGGAATAATATTTAAATTAAGTTTTTTGCAGCACGAAGTACTAATTAAATTATTTTGCGATGCACTATCAATAAGACATCGTATTATTTTTTTATTTTCATTATTAGAAAATGCATATACCTGTGCTGTTGATAATAATACAGTAGTATTTAATTTTAAAGAAGCTTGAGTATGCATAGTTATAGATTGAGTTAAAGGTTTAATAGAAGAAGAAACATTAGAAGAAGTTATATCATTTTGAAAATTAATTTTATTTGGTTCAAAATGCAATAGAGTATTATGACGTTTATTGCATTTTTTACAACAATAACTTGATTTACATTTACTACTAGTGTGGTTTGGATAAAGACAATTAATACAATGTCTTATTTCTTTAAGTTTTTCAAATCTGACTTTAGGTGTCATATTTTTAAATACCTGACATTCATATAATTTTGAATGATTTGATTTATTACAAATTTTACAATTTAAAGATTTAACATCTGCTAAAGCAAATGAATGTGTAGTTAAATGTGGACGATGTTGTGTTAGGGTGTTATGTGGTTTTAAACCTAAATGTGAGTTAGTGCGTTCTAAAATTTTAACTTGTTGTCGAATATATTCAATTAAATCTTCACAAGATGGAATATCTTTATTAATTGAATTTTCAAATGATTGTATAATTTGAGGATCTAGCTTTTTTAATGCCATATGAAGAAATATAAAATCTGAAAGGTCAGTTATATTTAACTGTTTCAAAGCGCTATAAGAGGAAGAAAAACGTTCTATAAAATTATTTAATTGATTGGAATTATTAGATGCAAATTTAATATCAATTATATTATTTAAATAAAATGTACCCAATGCACGTTTATCTTGATATTTTTTTACCAACGAATTCCAAATTGTTAAATAATTTTCCTCATTAGGAAGAATTCCCGATAAAACAGTACCTGCCACTTAACTTTCCCACAAGATATTGAACTTTTTGCGAATCATTTAAATTTGAATTAAGATGAATATTAGATTTAAATGCCTCAAAAAACAAAGGCCAATTTTCAGGATTCCCATCAAATTTAGGTAATTCAATTGGGGGTAATTTAATGTTAAAACAGGGCTCTTTTCCTAAAGAATTTTGTGTTTGTGGCAAAACCCTGCGACCCTCCAACACAGTATTTCTTACTTCTTTAATTTGGCTATATAAATTTACAAAACTCGACCATTTTTCAAAACAAGGAATATATTCTGAATTTATATCCAATTCCAAATTATTAGCTTGATCTGTTAAATTATTATATTGATCATATAATGTATCTAAAATTGACGTATTTGACATAAATTCCTGTGTATTCCTAGTTTCTGCCTTTGAAACCTTTTTGGCATTGTCATTATAATTTAAAAATAAATTAAATATTGCGTCTCTTTTTGCATTTATAGCTAATAATGACATATTTGACATTTTATAATTAATTTAATTTAAATTCAATTTTTAACTAAATAAATAAAATTTTATTAGTGGACTGTATCAAAAAATGGATTTCAAAATCCGGTTCGAAGGACCAAAATATGGTGTATCAATGCACCACAGGTTAATAAGAGAATGTACTTACAGTTATATTCCTTTATTTGTGATTTATATATTATATGTAATTATTATGACAATTATAATTTTAATTTGAAATTCATCTAAATAAATATTTTTAATATCTTATTTCTTCCATATCCATGAATATCTTTCTTCTTATATTTTCTTTATTTATTATCTTTCTTCTTATTTCATTCTTCTTATTCTATTCGTGTAATTTTCTTATATTTTTTCTTGTATTTCTTCTCGTAGGTATAATTTTCTTTTATATTGTCTATTTTTTGTTTATGTATATTATATTTTATTTATTTTATTTATATTTTATGATGTATTAAATTATATAAATTTTATGATTATGATTTTTATATATTTTTTTTATTATTATTATTATGTTATATTATTTTGTTATAGTTATCATGGATAACTATTTTTTAATATATAAGTATCAAAGATATTATTGATAGTCTTAAGTTGAGACTCTCAACTAACAATGACACAAAATAAAGGTTATGTAACCAAAGTCACATTGACAACTTAAACCAACCCATGGCGCAATACTTGGCGCCAACAATAGTAATAATAATAATAATAATAATAATAATATATATATATATATATATATATATATATTATAAATATATAATAATATATTATATATAAATTTGGATTATCGTTTATATAATAAAATATATATATATATATATATATATTTTATTTTATTATATAAACGATAATCCAAATTTGCAAGGTTTCAAAAACTTGGAGGCCAACTAATAGCCCTTTAATATTGCCTGATTTATTTTAAGAACGCTAAAAAATAAAAATACATATAATTTTTTGTGTATAATACTCTAATCACCCTGTATAATGCAGAATTTAATGTTGCATATTTTTTACTAATATTGTTTTAATATTTTACGTGAAACCAAAACATTTGCATACATAAATAATTAATTACTTTTTTAAATCCCTATATGTATATCGCATGCGTATTAATAAAAATATAAATAAAATAGTGCAAACCAAATTGATTTTATATTAAAATAATTGCCTACCTTATCAATTTTGTTGCCTTTCAAGTTTAGCTTTATTAAATGAAGCCCGTAAAAGCTGTAACTGGGCAGGTCAGTGATTTGATTTGATTCCATATCAAGCGAAATCATTTTAAGCATACCCTTAAAAGCTTTTTGTGGTACTTCTTTTAATCTACCAGATATCATTCCAAATGATTCGATTTGACCTTTAAGGGGTAACAAACTGTCATCGTGTATTTCTTGAATATATGATTGGGAGATGATGAGATGCTTGATAACAATGGTGTCCGGAAAGAAGTTTTTTGGTAGCTTTAATAGGTTTTTTTCGGGGTCGTATATACTAAGCGACTGAAAAGAAAGAAGTATTTAAATACCTCGAATTTTATCATTTTTATTGGACATATAATCTTTGTTTCTTTATGGGCCAAATCTAGATTTGTACCAGAATATGGAATACCTGTATTTATTTACAACAAACAGATGAAAAGAAAACAAGGTGATTTTATCTTATTTACTTTACTCTCTAAAAATTAATTTATCAAAAATGATAATTGTCATAGCGAAAAAGCAATCACTAATAATTCTCGTCAATAGAATAGTATATTCTGTAACAAGTTGGAATACAGCATATTCCGCTTGAGTGAAGAGTTTGTCACACGAGCCGAAGGTGAGTTTTACGGTTTCACGAGAGCGAAATATGAAATTCCAAATGAGTTTCAGACTATACTTTTTCTACGTTTCCAAAAAATACCATAGAAAAATAATTTAATTGGAAGAAAATGAGGTTGGATCGGTCTAAAATTTGTTAGATATTAAAAACAGAGATGTCGCCATGAGTGTTTATTCTGTCATCCGATGATAGAAGTTTTCATTCTGTAACACTTTACGGAATATATGTAATTCCATAGATAAAAGTGATATTGGAACGGTCAAATTCCGTAATAGGAGTAGAAAAATTTGTTTCCCGAACATTTAGCAGTCAATTTCCATGTAAAATTGTCCCCTGAATCCGAAAATGTCGTCAAAAGTTAAAAAAGTATAACAGTTTTTGAGATATAGTCAATTTTCCATTTAATATCGAATTGCTCTACTTTCATAATTTTTGACGGTATTTTCGGATTCAGGGGACTGTTAAATTTTGGGATACCATGGTATCCCATGGTTAACCATGGTACAAGTAAAAAAGCAGCCACTAATAACTGTAGTAATTAGTTATTTTTGAGAGTAGTATCATCGAACATATCTATTCATATCACATAAATTTCATATAGACATGCGTTCACACTGGGCCCTAGTGTGAACGCATGACTGGGGGTAGAAGTGAAATAAACAGAAAACTAAAATCCATTAAGAAACGAAGCTTAAATGACCAATTAAAAATGATATAGTGGAGTTTTGATGCTCACGTATTATGTAATAAAGTTTTAAATAATTTAGATGTCTTTTAAGGCTTGCCACTATGAAGTTTTAAAGTTATTTGTTTAATTACTTTATAAGGAAAACTTTGTAACATTAAAAGCAAACTATTTAAGAAGCTAAAACTTTACATCCCAGTATTTAAATAAAATGTTAATAAACTTATTTCTAACCTGTATTGGTCCATGTATAATTCGCAGAACCGCCTTAATAGAATCGGCTGTCGCACTGGGACACTCAAGGAAAATGCCGTTTTCGAAGTTAAAGCAGTGGCAGGACGGATTCGCCGCCAGACTGGGACACTTGGTCTGTTCGGCCAAAGCATACAGTCTGGCGAGACACGCCAGAAACAGTAAAAACGCGCCATAGCGCGCCATTATGTCCGTATCCTGGAGTGCATTTCTTCAAAAGTTATTTCATCCTGGGACATTAGCAACCTGAAATAAATTTAATTTAATTGTAAATTACACAGATTAATCCAGATTTTAAAATAGTACATTGTGCGACTAGTGGAAGAAAGACAAGATTCCTCGAGCTTGGAGTTTGCCAATAGTCGCACAGAATATTTTACTCAACTATCACATTGAATTGAATTTAACGCCAATTTCATTTGATATATTTTTCAAATTTTGACAGCTGTCAAGCATTTTTAATCTTTTTTCAATTTTTATCTCAAAGCTAACTTCAGCCTGTAGGCGACATGCTATTTCGCCCACTAGTGGGACGTGTATAATTTCGCCCACCTCGGTGCACCGGTTAAAAGTAAGAAATAAAATGGGTGTTAAATAATAGTATATTATTATACGAGAGATAATGCGCATAATCTCGAGTGTAATACCATACTTTATTTACTCCAATAAGTAGATAATTAAATGATTTTCAAAAATAAATAAATAAAAACTGACATCTGTCAAATAGTTAACCTCACTTTTTACCAATTTTAAATGTTATAAATGTTAGTCGTCTTCTCACAATTTTTTAAACCGGATTAGCTGGCCATACACAGACGTTATTTCGCGCGGTTTATCGTGGCGTGTTGGGATGTAGCGGTTAGTATGCACGAAAGAACGGCATGGCAAAAAAAGCGTCATGTTCCATACACTTGATAAAGTATTCAAATGATTTAGCAAGTGATTGCACGTGGTATATCAGTTTCAAAGGAAAAATCGTATGTGAGTGGGCAAAAAGTGTCATTTATCGAGTCGTTTGAAACGGCGTGTGATCATGTACAAATTTTCAACGTGAAATTTCGCCAAGCAAAGGTAAACCGTGACGCGGAATGTGGCGTCTGGTGTATGGACACTGCTGAAATGATGTACGCCACACTCCAGAGGAAAGCACGTCTGAAATACCTTCCCGTTCTATCATTGCGCGAGGCGATACTCACTCACGTCCATGATTTTCCATATATTTTTGCAGATAACACGATAAACCGCGCACAATAACGTCTGTGTATGGCCAGCTATTGTTTTAAATCACAGTAAATATTAAAATCATTACTTCCGTTGTTAGGCAGGGAATTTATAATGTTTATCATTATTTACGGAAAAAAACTCAATATTATGCAATAGAAGTAGATTAATATATTAATTTTAAAAAGAAATAATTATTCATATCAAATTACCACATTTACTATAATTGTTTTTTTTTGACTTCTTTCCATATTAAAAGGATATCATTGATGCTGACTAATTTATTATTCTTATTGGAACACAGGTAGGTAATTCATTTTTATGGCTATAATTGGACGGCTTTCTGCAGAATGGGACCAACCCACACCATGATGAAACTGAGAAAAAAGCTATCAAAGATTTTAATAATTTTAAAATTACCTGTTAATTTTATGCCGATTTTGGACTTACGGAGGTTTAAAGGATATAATTTAATAATTTCATCAGGTGGATTTTGTGATGTTATGTGTAAGGGTGACGAAAAAAATGGGCTTTTGTTGGTTGGTTCCTTTCTGCAATTTATGAAAACTACTATCTGATGTATGTATGTATTTAAAGAAAAGCGACAATTATTTATTTCCAAACAAAATACAACTGATATTACTATTATAATGGTAATATGAATTAATTTTGATTCTATTTGAAATTCGTTCACATCATCTTCCAACCCTACCTCATCTTGTAAGCTACCAAAAAAATGCATCAAGACTTTATATTTTGCAGAAGCAGGAAATCTTTAAAGACTTTGGTAGTGGGTCTACCAGCCTGCTTTTTTACAAAAAAGATCCAACCCACTTGCAGATACTGTACAGATTCTAATTTTGGATTAGTAATCCACACTATTATTGAATGTTGGTTGGTTCAATGATTAATAGATTTCACTACACTTGCATTTTGGCTATGACCTATTTTGCAGATAAATTATACATACTTAATTAGTTCATAGGCTAAATATCTCGATTTTTTTGGTTTTGTGGGTTGGTTCCTTTCTGCAGAAAGGCGTCCAATTATGTTTTGCTTTGTATTTCACACGAAGAAAACTAAATTTTATTGTTTGTGCAAAAAGGTTTGTGAAAATTTTAACTTAAATTTGGAAAAAACTCGGTTCTTCTCAAATTCGTTAAACAATTACATTAATTTTTTTCCAATACATATCTTTTATAGTTTTGGCTAACATTGTTTATTTATGTATTTTTATTTTACTTTGTCTCTATAATGAATTGGGGATTAGGTATTGAGGCACTTATTTATGAGATTAGCATAATGATAAGTATTTTAAAATTTAGCAAAAATTAGTATTTATCATTATATAAAACTTAATTAATATTATCAGCCTCAACACAGCTCTTAAAAAATATTCATTATTTTATTAGTAAAATAATAACTATACTTTTCTAATGTATTGTATACAATAATGATATACATGAGCGTAGATAATAAATCGATAAAAATTAATTTTTTACCCTATGCCTGGTCTGCTATATTTTCATCTAAAGCACAAAAAGACTTGCTTTTCCTCGGAATGAATTAATATACTTTAATACAAAAACATCCTAGCTGTATAAATAATTTAGACCAATCGGGAAATTTTTTATTTCCTAGTCTGTAAAAAACCCGTTTGGTCCAATACAAAAATTCGACTACTGTCAGATCTAATCTAACCTAACTTTTAATAATTATTATAATTGTATATAAATAAATGTATGCCTTGAGAATAAAATGTTGTATTCCATATGGATGATAAGTGTCTTATAGTTTTTCGCACAATTGTAGGCATCTGCCTCGCGTCGGCTTTTTTGTAATTTACTTCATTCAGTTCATGGATAACTTATTAATTGACCAACGCAAACAAAAAGGTAAAGTTTTTGTAAAATTTAAAATTTTGAGATATTTTTAAACCGCTTAATTTTACTTATATATCTGTATCTCTTTTAAATACAATGCATCATTTAATTTGTTTATAATTTATATTTAATTTAAAGTTACTTTCAATTATAAATAATATATATTTAAAAACAAAAAACAAAATAATTTTTAAAAACTTTATTTGTTTTTAAAATATTTAAAATTAAAACTAACTTTAAATTAAAAATAAATTAAAACTAATTAATAGATTCAATTTAGTCTTTGAGCAAATATTAGAACATTATTTTCCAGAATGGTATTTATATATAGTCGAAACATCAACAATTGTTAAATATTAGAAATTTTTAAAAATAGCTGTTCTTTTTCGTATAGAAAGTTCCTTAATAAAGATTGGAATTATGGATTATAAAAAGGCCGAACATAATATGTAATAAATATTATAGTCCACTAACCTAACCATGGTTAGGGCTCGTATATGTATATGTATATGTATGTATATATATATTTATATTTATACGAGGTGTGTTCAGAAAACAACGGAAATTGTTAAATTTCGCGGGTTCGGAGGGTCCGGTTGTCATAAAATTTTCTTTATTATGTTGGTATACATGCCCCCGAACTTCGGGGCCCGAAGTATGATAACAACTTTAGCTGTTTTCATTGTTAGACGACACTAAAAATCACGGAAACCTCGGAAGTATTCGGCCGTGTCCGGAGGGCAGCGAGAAGCGGCTGGCGGGAATTTTGATTTTAAATATTGTTTTGGTTCGTTCTTTATTTTTAGATCGTATAATTATATAGCCTTCAAAATAATTGATGATTTATTAGGTTTATTATTATTATTATTATTAAGTATAATAAACATAACAAATCATTACTTTTTTGGAGAATTTGTTAGATATAATAATTTACACAAGAAATATTAAGAATATGATTCTGATAAGGCTGATTTGCATTCTCGTTTTAAATTTATATCAAAATCACTTGCTTTCGGATGTTTAAACGTTTTTTGTTATTTGTATTTCTAGGGACTTCAATCTATTTCATCTTTGATGGTGGAAAAATAGAAATTGTTTTATTCTTTGCAGGAAAGTGGCATGCATTCGAATTTGGTGTACGGTTAAAGCAATCGAAATTTTGTTTTCACATAGATGTTTAAAATTAAAAAAACCCTTCTAATAAAACCAAGTATAGGTCAGAAAAATTTAACTACCCCATTGAAGATCAGCTTTAAAATTTTGAATACAGTACATAGATGAGCAGTAAAATAATTTTTGTTGTGCTAAATTTAAACTAAGTTTTAAGAAATCCGCGATTTTAAATACAACCCATAAGAAGAAAATAAAATAAACTTATGGATGTTTTTTTTAAACCAAACATATCATTTAGGTATATACAATAATTGTTAGCTTACACATATGTGTACATATAATATATATATATATATATATATATATATATTTTAATTTTAGAAATTACTGTTGATCTACTTAAATAAAACAAAACATAATATTAAAGTTCTTTATTTAAACTTAGTTTTAAAAAATCCGCAGTTTTGATTACAACCCATAAGAAGAAACTGCAAGAAACTTATGTGTGCTTTTTTCTTTAAACCAAACTCATCAGTCAGGTAAAATACAATAATTGCTAGCTTACATCTACTTAAATAAAACCAAAACAACACTACAAAACTACAAAATAAATTTAAAATTAATAATAATACTAATTTAAAATTTAAATTAATTTAAAATTTAAAATTCTTCTTCATTACATTATGTTTCTTCATTAAATATGATACATCATTTCTATTCAGCATATTTATTCTTTGAATTTTCTCAGATTTTAATTTTCTGGCATTGGACATAATTCTGTCTACGGTTACACCACTACATAATTTTTTAACTATTTTAGTTTTTTCAAGTTTTGACAAGTGTTGACTTCTAATCTCCTCTTCATGGCCTACATGTGATTTCCAGAATTTTACAGTAATCTCTCCTACAATTTAAATGTTGATATTATCTCAAATACTGTCTGTCCACTCTAAGTTGGCGGAACTAAGG